TCTTAAGAGAAGTCCTTTTATGTGGCATTGGTGGAATTTATTAATAATTGAAGAACTATCTTTAAAGCCTATTTGTAACTGGAAGCTGTGAATTTTTAAAAATTTTTGACCTACACACACTGGCGACTAAATTAAAACACAGACCTAAATACTACTCTGATACAAGGCTGTTCAAGGTATCTAATCCATTACTATGACCTAAATGTATTCTAAAAACAACAACAAAAATCCAACTGGGTTTTGGTAATACTTTAATTCTGGGTGTTTGTAAAGCTGACTCCCCATTGGGTGAAAGTTTCAGTACAGAAAGGGACATGTCTTGACAATAATCATTAGTAAAAATGTCTCAAGGGAGTATAGTTTAGGGCAGTGGGTGGGAGATGGGACATGATTAGAGAAAAAGGGAGGATTCAGGCCAGGAATCTGAAAAGCTTTTCTGGAAATTTGAACATAGGTGGAACTGCAGGAATCTTTAAATGATGAGTCATGAAGATTGTAAATTATAATGGAGGTTTTATAGTTTAGATGATCTGTGACAGCTTCCTTTGTCATAGATTTTCTGTTTTCAATTAGTACCACAAGGATCATGGTTTTCCTCTGACTATTGGACCATTCACAAATGTTTAATTAATTCTGACAGGTCCCATATTATCCTAGAAAGTCAATCAAAAATTACATATTTCCTTGGAAATAAACAAATTACCCCCAGCTTTAAAAACTGATGGTTTATATTTAGCTACAAAACCCATAGGAAGAGTTATTAAACTCAAAGAAGTTAACATGTATTAATTTCTATAATCTTATTAATGACCTAGACCTATTGCTTTATTCTGAAGAAAGCAGCATTCTTTTTGAAGAACATGGATTTTGTATACACAATAGTCTATTATCAATTTAAAAGTTTGTTGGCAACATTACTCTAAGAATGTTATTGAGCTATCTGCTGATAATCAGGGAATCCAACACATATTCTGCATTTCTATTTCCTAACATGAATAAATAAATACATTAGCCAGCAAATGTTAATGACCACTCACAATAAATAGAATTCACAGATAAAATCTGCATTAAAAGATCATTAGCGTTGAGGATTGAAAACACAAAACTATGGAAATGAGTTCTTAATTCTCTCATTCTATCTTCTTAGAGTAGATACATACCTCAAGATATAAATAAATTCAGAGGGCAATTTTAGTGGCATATGGGGTAACTTATTCCTTTTTTGCATTTGTAATTAGAGAAAGGGAGTTTGAGATCTCAGCCACAGTACTGGTTTGTGCCTCATGGACGTTTCCTGAGTTTACTCAGCGATAGGACACTAGCCTCGGATGGGTCCTATACCAGACGGCATCTTTGCACATCACAAAGTACCACTATTTTGCTTTCAGTTCAAATCTGCTTCTGGTTTGGGATGATATGGTCTAATTTTTCTAATTTTTTCTGTCTCTTTTTTTCACTTTCCATCTCGATCTCTTTTTCTGTCTCCCTTTTTCAAGCACTGTTTCCTGATGTTTTGACTAATTCTCTGAAACCTTTCGTTAGTCCAGAATTATCTATAGTTTGTCACATTCTGTCTATTTTATGGAATTCCTGCCATGATTCAGCTAGAGGTGACTTCAGGTGCCGACAGAACTGTAGTGTATTTGGCAAGTCAAAAATCTCCAGCCATAGACAGGGCTGCAGGAGGTGTGTGATTTCAGAAGGAAGGCACACTTACAGGCTGTCACCCACCTTTCTCCAGGCTCCCCCAACCCCTTTTAGAGAGTGCATTCTCCTTGAGGATATCTGTACACAACACTTGCCATTTTTCTGACTATCAAGCAGCCGAACCCCCTCCTATATGTGTGCGTGTACCTTGGTAAGAGTGTTACACCCTGTTCTTTTAGGAAGTATTGCCAAGTGCAGGCAGATGATTGCAGGTCCCACCCTATCTCACTCCCCCTAAAGGATTCTACATTCCTTAAGGGTCAAGGGGCAGAAGATCTCTTCTTCGGGAGCTACTTCCTGCTAAACAGGGGCCACAGACCCTAACATCCCCTGGAGGTGTAACCGCCCCCTTCAGACTGCTCTAGGGGCCTGCGGGAACCTGGGCCACCATCTGTGGGGATTGGGTGAAACCCTTAGGCTACCATGAGCCTCACCTGAAACTACTGAAGCCTGGAAGACACAAATCTGACTAAAAGATTAAATAAAGAGGGTCCAAATAATAATCAAAGAACTATTGCCACTAGAGGACCCAGGAAAGGCAGGAACCAAATGATGCCTGGAACAAAGACTTTAATCAAGTCCCATGTAGTTTGGACAGTGGGATTGCTGAACACACATAACTATTTAGCTTGTTTGAAAATCTCCTAAATATTTAGTTTGACTTCCCCCTGAGTTGTTAATGCATGTACAGCAAGTTTGGTTAATTACTGCAGAGATACCCTTGATCAGCCAGAAGGTAATCTTGGGCTAACCTACTGTCAAACATCACATTAGCTAAGGAATCTAATGACTCCCAGAGGCCCCTTAAGGCATCACCAATCTTTGAGGCCAGATTCTCTATAGCCTGGGTAAGGATTTTTAAGATTGCTTTGTGATAGGCAACCCCCCCCAGGGCCAGTCCTGTGGTGGCCTCAGGTGTTGTCAGAATTAGTCCAAGTGCCCTGTTACACCTGTTTTGAGAGGTGGCATTATACAGTGACACCTAGTCCTTTAGGGCCCAATTGTCCCAAAGTGCATTCTCCTTGGAAGTGCATAGTGTCTAAGCATGGATAGGCCACTGCCCAGAGAGGCTGGGAGGAGGAACTTGGGTTCCCTTCACAGGATAGTTTATTTTGCAGTGGACTGCAGAGGAATAGATTGGGGGGGGGGTGTGCAAGCTTGGTGGGGTGAAGTGGAATCAAACCAGTGACCAAAAAGGGAGACCCAGTCAGGTGTATTACTGCACATGAGGGACAGGGGCCCTCTGTCTAGTGGTCCCTCATCTAGTTCTTCCCTTTCCCCTATTCCCTCATGCTTGCTGAAGGCAGACAGGAGGCTATAGGTGACTCTCCAGGAAGGCGCTACCCTTCCCCTCCAGTATGTACAAACAAGAGGTGCTGGGTTGGGTGCCTGGGGAGAAGAGAGATGGGTCCACACACCAGTGAGTCTGGTTAGGGATGCATGATGAGTTTAAAGTGGAAAATCACGGATAAACAGAGGGTAAGCTTCCTACATCAGGAAGGCAGATATCTTCCTGGCAGAAGCAACAGAGTTTTCCTTGTTCTGTGCAGAGAGGGGGCTGCTGGACCTGGAGACTAGTTTGGTTCCAGGGGTCTGTAAGCTTCATACCCCTCATATCAGCATGAGCATCAAGTTTCATTAGAAAATGGTGTGCTTCTAATGGGTTCAGAGGTCAGGGTGAGATTAATACCTTTACTAATAGGCACAAACTGGTTGCAAAATAGGTCCAGTTATAAAATGGTGCTAAAATTTAGCGATCCACGTTGGTGCCACCTCTTCTGGTTGCCTAAGGCATATTGGGGCAAAGACGTATTACAAAAGAAAGACAGCTTGTTCTTTTCTAAGCCGTCTAACTTGAACTGTCCCTGTTAAGAATGCAACCCAAGGGGCAGTCTGTGGGAATTCCTGGGACACTTCCTCATTGCTGTACTTCTGATGACCAATGATAAAGGGTCCAGGAGCAGGATGGAGTCCCATAGACCTTGTGTCAATGTAATTATCTGATCGTTCCTGGTCCCCAAAAACTCCCAAGAAGAAGACAGTGAAGGAGTGACAAAGCTACAGAGGACAAAGAAGGAGCCCCAGCAGGGAACAGATCCAATTATTCTCTAAATGGTCTTCACATAGGCAATCTCCCCTGTTTCTAGGGGAACAGAGCCGAAGAGACAGATGGCAGAGGAGATCACATAACTCACCTCCTGTGGTCCAGGGCGCAGAACAGAAAAACACTGGGAGGTAACATAGAGGTCGTCCCAGGAGGGGCCTCTAGGATGGAGGGGAGTGGAGGGTTCGGCTAGGGAGGGTAAGAAGAAAGAAAGGAAATGAGAGAGGGAGAGACAGAGAGCTTGTCCTTTCACCCCACCCCTCTGCGGGTGTCTGTCCAAGCAGTTCCAATCGGGCCCTCCATCCACCGGCCACCGGGAGAATTAGCACCAGAAGCCAGTGCCTACGGACTCTAACCCACAACTGGGACATCCACCCCCGAATGGGACTTCAACCCAGGGAAAAGATGTGGAGAAGTTTGTGACAACTGGGCTTCCAGCCACTGCAGGACATGAGGGCTGAACCTCTCTATCAGAAACCTCACCTCACATCAAGGCCAGCCCGCCGAGGTCTGCAGGGCGCGGCGAGACCCTCCCGCCTCTGGCGGTCACCGTCGGGGTGAGCTGGGGTCGGAGGGAGCGCGGACTCAGGGCTGAGAGGAACCGGGCTGGAGCTGCCCACTGTCCACTTTCTGAACGGATGTGACAGAAAAGCGGAGGGGACAGAGAAAGAAGAAAGAAAGAGAGAAAAACTGGAAGAGGGAAAAAAGACAAAGGGGAAAGGGAAGGGTTGCCTGAATGTGGATAATGAGACCTCCAAGCAAGGAAGGCAGACTTACCAAGCGCAATGATATTGAAACAAAAAAAATTTAGGCGCCGCTTGTCAACTGCGAGGAAGCTGCCTTCAGCCTTCTGGAAGAGAGCCCCCAGTCCTTTAGGGGGAGCAAAAGGTCTCACTGTCATGGTGAAGTTGCCACAAATGATGGTACCAGTCTGATTCTTGGACTCTTTAATCAAAAGAAGTTGCCGAAGAAACCAGAAGAGAATTTCAGGCAAAGCTTTAATGAGGGAGTGAACGCATGAATCAGGAAGCCGAGCCCGCTCCCCGCCGGTTCCATTAATTGGGTGAGTCGAGGGGCGGGGCGGTGGGGTGGCTTGGGCGGGGCTTTGGCCCCTCGGCGTGCCGGCTGCACGGATCATGCGCAGTCCTTCGCGCTTGCGTCGGTCCGCT